AATATATTGTTATACGAAAGCTCTGTGTCTGTGGTCGCTGTGAGTATCCATGACGTCACACTTGTCTCGAAAACATTTCATGTTTTCATAGCATCTACTTATTTGTGAGGGATCATTGCTTAGAGAGAGATTGTCACAATTTGCGTTTTTTTCTTCTTTTCTATACATAATAAAATACTTGTTCTATTTGGCCCCTTATTTTTTAACATACCTTTATTTTACTATTGTAGTGTTTACATAATAATGCTATGTAACATTCTGTAATGGGTTTTATTGCGAGTTTCGTAGATCTATTTGTCCTCATCATCGGGCTAAAAAATAATATTTACATTGACAATGGATAATCTCAGGTTAAGTACATAAATATAATACAAAATAGACAAATTAATACATTACATTTTAAAGTAATAAACACTGAATATAAATATATGAAGCATACTTTTTTATAAGTATAAATTAATCATAATCTCTGTAATGCTATTCAAATTTCCATTCGCGCCACAGTACAAACGTATGGTAGGACACCATATTTGTGGAAATTGTATACGCGCCATGTAGAATAAAAAAAGGCTCTGTATTCCCGGCATGGAACGTGCAATGAGTCAGAAGGAAGTGGGGTAGGGGGATACATTTTTCGACTATTGAATGGTTCCTCCTATTGGTGGAAGCCACATAGGGTAATCAATTTACCAATGTAAGTTTTCACTGATGGGTAGTTTCGACATACACCAGACAACAAGGAAATGCGTACATATAAGTAATAAAATACTTGTGCAAATGTAGGATGATTTTTGATATCATATTGTTTAAATCAAGCAGATAAAATGAAACAAGGCATACAATATACTTCAGTAAGGTGCATATTTACTTCAATTATTTTTCCCGAGAAGTAAGCTAAGTTATATTATGTTTGCCCAAAAATATACCTTTTCATTTCAAGCATGCTTCTTCTGAATTCTAACAATAAAAGCTTGCACAGGAAATGAAATATTATTAATATTAACAGCATGTTAAAGTGCATATTTTAGATTATTTAGGTTGTAAGTAGATATTAAAATACATATTTCAGATTTTATTAGGTCATAAATGCATATTTTTAAAAAACATATTTCAAGACTTTTTAGGGCATAAACATCCTCTCCTTAGTGATCTATGCTCCCGTCCTGAGGAGACTCTCGAGCGTAAGGTCGAGCTGGGCGTCAGCGAGGAGCTGGACGAGCGGGCAGGGGTGGCCAAGGGCTCTTGGACGATGGCCTCCTCAGAAAAAACAACACCGGGAAAAATTGCAGAAAGTATTAAGCTTCCAATTAATCGACTTGTTTGTTTTGAGCGACGCAATTTTGAGGACGAATTTAGTTCTATGTGCCCACTTCAGAAAAGGATCAATGTTTTTGGAAGGGGTAGCAACATGGACTATTGCGAGTCCGTCCGTAGCTGTTGCTTGCGAGGAAATGGAAGCTTGAGGAAGAGGGGGGGGTACTAGGAGTTGGGTGGGGACAGCATGCTGCTATAAGTGTTTTGTTCAACAGAGTTCGTGCGTATTAACTAAGCTAAAAATACCGACTCTTTAATCTGATTTCATAAATTACTATTTTGTTTACTGGAAATATGTTTCAAACCGTTTCTTATTTTCGCCAGGGCCGGATTTACCTACAAGCAAAACAAGCAGTTGCTTGGGGGCCCCCATTCACCAGGGGCCCCGCGTTTTGGAAAAATGCGAATACCATATTTTTTTGTCTGTGAAATAATTGTTAATCAAGTAGTCTACTGTGTAACAAAATGTACAATTTCAAAACATTTTTTAAAAATGAGTATGGAGCATGATAAGCTGAGAAATCTTCGTTTTGAAGACATCATCAACCAATTTTTTGCAGTGAAGAGCAGAAAAAAAATTATGTAAAATGTATTTAATGTAAAAAAATGTAACACAAGTAAAAATTTCTATAAAAAATTATCAGTTTTCATTTGTATCTGTACAGAAAGTACTTGTACTATAATACATTTTTTATTTAATAAAGATGGAGCTATTTTTTCGGAGGGGGGCAACACAATTTTGTGCTTGGGGCCCCGCACTACTTAAATCCTGCCCTGATTTTCACGTGAACACAATTGTATCTTCCGTTATCAAAAAGATGTCTTAGAGAAGGATTAAAACCCCGATGCGTGCAAATAGGTTCTGCACTATACGCTATAGTTTTCGTCGTTCAAGAAATATTTTAAAGAGGTAAAATACATGTTCGAACATGCTAGTGATGGTTCGGAAATACATGTGATGGTTCGGCCAGCCTCTACACCAATTCGCAACCCAGCGGCCGCCATTGCCAGCGGGTCCTCTTCCTCACCGCCGTCGAACTCCTTCCAGCAATGCTTTCTTAGCTATCCGGAATGAGCTGCATCTCGGTCAATTGCACTGACGTTTCGGTCATCTTGCTGTGGCCTTCTTCATAGCTATACTGCAGAGCTGCACTCCTTCCCGGAATCCTTCCCAATCAGCTCACAGACACTTGGGGGTCGCCGTCCCCTGCAACGTCAGCACTAGTCCGCCGACTGCGGAGTTGCAGGGCGAGTACAGGAGCTCACAGACTGGGAGGCCGACGTCTTCCTCTGTTTCAGGCGGGCGCCACCGCACTCGTATGCGTCTTGCCGCTTGCCGGGCCCGTGTGAAGAACGAGGGGTGCGGGGCAGTACAAGAATGTAATTTACAAAAATTTAATTTTTTGACTTCTCTCCCACGTTGTTAATATTTACATTAGCGACAAATTGTTCACATTATTATATACGTGCTTTAAATAATGCAATATAAAATTTCTCGGAAACTCAACCGTTTGCTGTGAAAACAAGCTCAAAATTCCGCATTTTCATGAACGCTCAAACGCCATGTTCTCAAAACCCGCAAATTTGTACTTCCATTTTTCGAACGGATAGTGCTAATTGTACTCTTTAATATGACGTTAAATTCATTTTGGGGTAATTGTTTGTTTCTTTTTTTTTCAAATGACTCAAATGTAATTTTAAATCTCTCACGGCGTTAACACGCACATTTTCAGAAATGTGTAAACACTGTTGCATTTATGACTTAAAGTGCTTCAAGTGACTTTAAATGTAGTTTTCAGAAAACTCGAAAATTTTCTGTGAAAAAGAGCTTCAAATTTCTCATTTGCAGTTTCCCTTAAACACCTTTTTCTCAAAAACGGCTCTAAATTTTTCAATGAAAATCGTCATTTATAACGAGGTTTAACTCTTTAATATTCTTGAAATAATATTTTCGTTCTACTATTAACAAACCGAAACATTAAGAAAATGTCAAAAAATGTACCTTGGTCGGCAATAGATGGCAGCGGGCAAGAGTATGTGACAAGTCTGATCAACTAATCGAGACCAAAGGAATTAAATAGAAAACTAATAGGGGAAAGTCTGTGCCATTCTGTATAACCACTAGTTCCTTACAAAGGCCCTGCAATTAATTTTTTTCTGCAGAAAATCCGCCGTTTTATTGTCACTTTTTAAGAAAAAATCGTTAAAAAATAAATATTGCCTACAACTGACACAAAATTACGTAAAAATTAATCATTATTCTCATTACCTTATTATTCTCAATTTTATCAGAGTTCTTAATTTTCAAAAATAATCCCTGACCCAATATTAGTACTCCCGAGAATGAATGTCCAATTTTCAAATCGGCAGAGATTACCTAGAATGATTCTAATACAATCCCAAAAATGACTTTGCTACTTTTTAACTTCTGCTTAAGTGTTCAAGGGTATTATGTATATTTTTTTTATAAATGATGAAACACAACCCACTGTTAACATCTGACCGACCAGAATATTTTTTCCCGTTTATATGATTAAAAAATACTAGAATGATGTCTATGTCTATGAAAGTCACACCCAACAGTTGGTCTTTCCTTTTTAAAATGGCGGATAATTTCGCAGCTTGCTTAACAACATTCAATAGTGCCAATATTCATTGCAGTGTTTACAGTGCTTATTCTTTCCTATATTATTTTTACATGGATATTAATGTTATTACCGTTATACCATAACACATGAAAATGTACGCCTAACAACCTGGATAAAATATAAAACAAAAGAAATGTTTTAAGGAAAGTGTTAATGAAAACTCTAGATTGAGAATGTTGGTATTACCACAATCACTCCCGTCTTTTAGATTCGACTACATTGGACTACATGGTCATGATGTGCAATGAAGGTTCTACTTTATAAACTGAAAAAAAATTCTACAACAAAATTATATTATACCTTTTCTTTTGAAATCCTTGTGTTACATATTAGTTTATTAAGAAACGGTAACTGCCTCCTTGTATTGTTTACAAGCGTTTCTATGGTGCACTTAAAATGTTAACGTAGTAACGGGAAAAGCCGATGGAAGCCGATTGAGTGCCGAAAGGGTGAGGCAAGTGGGTGCCTGGAGAGGGAGGACACGAAGGTGCAAGAGGCCAAGAACAGCTCGAAACGGTAGCCATCATGGAATCTCTTGTAAGTTATTGTAGCGACGACGAAGAAAATGAGTCATGCCCTGGAAATGTAAGTATGCTTAATTTGGACATTAAATTTGTTTATAAATGGTCCTTTTTAACATATTTCAAAACTATTCAACAGTTCCTTATGGAAAACTAATTGTTGATCCCACCTTTGCGTATTTTTGTTTTGCTAGAACATGAATATGAAATTAATCTCGTTGTATTGTTAATGTAAATTTGTTGCGCAGGAAACCAGTATAAACCAAAGAGAAATGGACGCAATAAGCCGTCAGGCAGATGAAGATACTAATTATGACAACGTACAAATGGATATGAGTGAGGTAGGAACTCCTTGCCTTAGAAATCCTATTTTTCCGTTGATGTAGGTTTTGTTTTTGCATAGTTTCATTGTAGAAGTACGAAGGATGTTTTAGGATACCAGCAAGTATATTTGACTGTAACATTATTTAGTTCTAAGTAATTAGAGAAATTTGAAGGACATTCAACAATTGCTGATATCCTAAATTGTTGTACAATATATTACATTTGAATGAAAGGTTATGTCATATAGTCTTTAAATTTGCAGTTTATGAGTATTCATTTGCATATCTATTGTTCACCTACTTCCCTTTCTAGTATCCATCAAATTTTCATGATTCTGCCATGAAATTACAGTTGCAAAATTCTAGTATTAAAATAATGTAATAACTGTAAAAGCTTCAATGTGTTCATCAAACTAAGTGCTGTTTAATCAGTGTGAATGATAGTTAGTTATGCTGGGTTTGCTTCCAGGAACATTTTCTCTGAAATACAAATTTAACAAATGTGGGTCCCATAGAATATTGATGGTAGATTATCATGTTTGCTCTAAAAACATGTCTATGGGTTAATTGTCTGGAAATAAACATATCATTTCAATATAGTATAAGTTAATCTTGCTGAACAAAGTTTTCACTTAATGAAATAGGCAATGAAAGTGGAATATTGCATCTTTTACGCTACATATGAGAATCATAAAATATGCACGAGTGAATTGATGCATGTGTAAAACCCTTCAGTTTAGAATACTATAATTACGTGTGTAGAATGTATATTGATTGCAACTGATTCATAATCTTTGGAATATTTATTTATTTTTAAAAGAATTAAACAATTTATTGGATATCAAGAGGAATGTTAATTATTGCTTTTAAAAAATTAAAATTCTCAAAATTTAATGTAAATTGAGTTCCTACTTTTTTCGAAGGATCGTGCTTCTGTGTTGTGTATAGTCATGATCATAGTAATGGAAACTAGAAATAGAGTAGTAATATGAGGTTTGCAATTGGATGTTCATTAAACAAATGTTAGGTTATAATAGATAACAGAGCAGTAGTGACTGCGTGCAATTGATGGGAGAGAAAGAACTTGGAGGAAGTGGTGGAAAAGGGTAGTTATATAATTTTTACCTTTGTAAGAAAAAAAATACAAACAAAAACGGGAGTTTTTTCCAAATGGTATTAACACGCTCTGTTATGAATATACTACCATGTGCATGGACAGAGATGGATCCAAGGCCCAACTAAAGTTGACTCCACCGCACAGAAGTTTGATTCGCCTACAAACATCAAAGTGAAAGCACAGAGCCGTGGGGGTGAGTACCGGCAGGCCAGGTAACAGAAATAAGCCACAGCCTCAAATAAATAAACTACAAAAACCAGACCACAAACATTTCATGCTCCATCTTGAAGTAAGTGTTAAACTCAAGTCATTTTTTGAAATTGTTTCAAGAAAGATGGTTTAGTATTTGCTTGCAAAAGGGGCAACATTCTTAATGTTAATCTAAAATTTTAAGTTGATTTTCATTTGATGTATTGGCCGTTTTTACAGCAACTATTATAACCATCTTTTTTGGGACGAATGTTGCGTCTGATTGTGGATTTCAGAATGTGTGTAGTAGGTTTTGTTTGATTTTTAAAAACCTGTTTTGGGTTGTCTTTTAATGAGGAATTTAAATGTGGACTGCATTATTATGTTCTGAAAAGAATAACCCAAGACAACGTTTTATTTGACAAGAAAAAAGTTGGATCATAAGTTAATGAGAGAACTTCTGCAAATGTCAAAGAGTACGTGGTATTTCAAATGGAATATTGATTCAAAATGGGTTTTGAAGTTTTCGTGCTTTTGTATTGAAGTTGAGATTTATTGCTTGGAATCTCCCTGTACTTAACAATAGGACAGAACTTTCTTTTGACCTGGTTAATGCAGTATTGTATATGGACTAGGTCTTCCTCATACAAAGTTTCTGAAACTGTTTTACATGTAACAACTTTTTAAGAATCAAATCTTTGTCACTTAGTTGTTTTTCTTAGTTTTCTTTGTATCTGTATTAATGGTAGTGATAGATAATGAAGAAAGTAAACATTTTTTAATGGCCTCTTTGCAATGGTCAAGTTGCTGTTAATTAAAAATGCTTCTTATCAATTTCTGTTATGTTGCATGTGAAAACCTTGGAACAGTGTAGTTCTATTGCTGCAAGAGAGGTGGGGGTCGTTGATGTTTGAGATAAAGGTTATGAAGTTAAACTGCATTAACCGTACATTAGTCATGCTCAGAATTGTTCCCCATTTCAATGTTTTCTTAATAATTTGCTCTTGCATTGGGAAGATTTCACCTGCGAGTAACTGAAATTTTGACTTCATTGTTGTGCCTAGAAACAAAATGCATTGGATGTTCACCTTTTAAAAATTCTGGTCATTTCTTTTCAGCATTTCATTTTGTGGTTACTGAGAACTACATATTCAATGTGGTGCACCATCGCAAAATCTGGTTAGGGATGGGGTGGAATTAATAAAGTCCATTATAATGAAAAGTAGTTCATTAAAAAAATTAATAAGTTTGCACTAGTATTAGTTATTAGTTTATTTTTATTTTATTTTTCTACCCTTTTTTGGGCCATTAGAATAATATCTGAAGGGCTTAGTAATTAATTTTCAAATTGTTTGTATTATAATAAACTCTAAATAATACAAAATAATTATCAAATCAATGTAAAGCTGGAAAGTGGAATTATGACCATTTACACATGTGTGGAACAAATGTTGATGCATTTCAAAATGATAATGCAATTAATGTTGGGAAATTAAAATTTAAGGTCTTCCGTACATACATAAAATAGTGTTTCCCTGGTTGTGTTATGAAGAGGATTGCAAGTTTTCTTAGTTATTTTTTAGACCAATCTTAAGATTATAAGTATATTTTAAGTTCATGTTAATAAGTAATTATTTTCCTCATACAAATTGAGATTATACAGTTGAAATTATTTAGTTTCCCTTGAAATACCTGTTAGTCTGTTGACATTGAAGGATTTCTGTTATTTAATCTTAATACACTAATTGAAAACTACAGTCAATAAAATTCTGTTCATTGAATGTTTCTCAAATGCCCAGAGTTTTCTTGAAACTGGGATGCCATAAATAGCCGTGATCTTCAATTTGATTGAATAATGATTTATCCTTCACGGAAAGTAGTAGTGTTTTGTGGCAAAATTTTTCTATAATTTCTCCTTGGAGACATGAACACTTCCTTTCTCAACCTTCCTGAATATTTTTTAACTGTGCATGTATTTTATTATTATTGTTATTATTTTATTATTTGATCACTAAAAGAAAATAGTTTCTAGAATTTCAGTAAGGGATTAATTTCACTATTTTTTATTATTTTTTTTCTTTTGGACTTTGCATCTAGCATTGACATCAGTTAAGTTCGAATTTTAAGTTCTAAATCTTCCACACACAGGAGAGTAGATTCATGTATAAATCTTTTGTGATGAATACATGTCTCTTCATAAACTACAGAATTGTGTAACTAATTAACAAAGTTTTATGCCTGAGTCACCTCCAATGTGTATGGTTGGCTTGCAGCATGTCTAGAAATTTCTGGAACATGTTTGTCGCTTATTTCTGTATCGTGCCTTGGAGGAACTGCAGGGTTTTATGGGCTCAGAGGGGTTTGGTAGGTGGGATTAATTCATTGTTTTCCTCTGTTGTCCAGGAATCAAACAACAACAACTCACCTGATAGGAATAGCAGTGGTGATTCAAGTGACAGTGAGAAATCATCTGTGGGTAGCTCTCACTCACGATCTCGAAAATCTTCATCGAGCAGTAATGGGAATAGTCCTGCCAGATGTAGTAGGCAACCTGCTTCTTCTCACTCAGTTATAAGCAATGTTGATATTGCCTCTAAGGAAAGAAGTTCAGATTCTCGGTCCCTTAGAACCCAGTCTCAAGGCAAGGACTTCACATCAAAGACACACGGACAATCACGAGAATATGAAGGAAAAGACCATGCTTCAGAAAATGTGAAGAAGGATCGTAGTAACAGAGATAGAGGAAGTCGAAATGAACGGTACGTAGTCAAATTTTGTTGTTGGCCTTAAATATTCAGAAAGTCTTTTTGAAAAGAAAATTGGATTCATAAATATCCTTCAAACAGGATGTTTTTAATTTTTTGTGCAGGGTAAGAGAAAAGGATCATTCTCGGGACAACAGATCTCGAGGACATAGTAAGGATCGCAGAGAAGGATGTCGTAGTCAGTCACAGGAGAGACGCAGCCATTCGCGAGGAAAGGATCAAAGAAGTAGCCCTCATGGAAGGGATAGAGACAGGTGGGAATAACTACCAAACCTATGGTTCTTACTTGTAATTATTATAGTCTTAATGGATATTTGACTTCCCAGTTTCTTAATTATGATTCAAGTTCTGCATTACATTAGTTAGAGCATGAATTTCATTTACAGCTTTATTGTGTTTGTAGTGGTTTGTGAGAATTTTTCCCTTTTCAAGGAATTTGACTAGTAATATTAAAGTACTATATGTAACAGAAAATAAGGTGACTCCCTAAGGAAGAGACTTCCTGAGAATTATAAAAAATATTTAACTGAATCTTATTATTTAGTCTCAATAAAATTAAATTGACAAGGTTTTTTTTCATGGGCTATCACTATTCATTAGAAATAAGTCCTCATTTTTGTCACTTCTATCTTTACATGAATTGTTTCTTCCTTTTTGGTACCCTTTTTACTCTTGTTAGACTTCTTAGCAATAAAACAATATTGGAATAAAATTTGTTTGCTTAGAGGGGCCTATTAGATGATACCTTTCTCTACCTCTCACCTCTTCCCCCTGGGGGTGGAGGGTGGGGCCACTTGTAAATTTCAAATGGGAACCAATATTTTTTTATATCAGATTCTGATTATCCGCAAAAATAAACATATTTTTTGTTTTTCAGTAGATAGCGCTGTAACAGTAGAGAAAATTGTTTGCAATTCTGGTGAAATTGCACCAGGGGGTGAAAAAACATCGAGTGTTTTTATGAATCTTATCTAGTATTGATAAGCATGAGCACCCCCAACCTCTGGTAGAGAGTAGGAGTAATTTTTAAATTTCAAATCGATCAAATATCAAATTGCTATAACATCATTAATAACATTCAAAAGTGAATGACTCTCACTGTCTAGATGCTTGTTTTAGGCAAGTCCCCTCGCCTCTCACTGTCAGGGTGCTTGATATAAATAATAATTTCAACATTATCATAACTACTACTAAAGATAGGTATCTTAATTACAAAAAAAAGTTAGACGTATTAATTAAAATTGCTAAAGACTCTTATTATATTGGTTACTGTACTGGTATTCCAAAAGAAATATCCAGCAAAGTGAAACATTTATGGAATTTCATAAATGAAACACTTGATGAGAATACACCAATTAAACAATTGTTTGATGATCAATGGTATTTTCATTGAAAATGATAGTGACATCTCAAACAAGTTTAATGACTTTTTTGTTGAAGTTGGTCTCGATATGGCTAAATATCGGGATGTTATAATGACTGAGACGACATTAAATTCCGATCAATCCCCTGCCTATTCTATTTATCTTAATCCTGCTACAGAGCAAGAAATATTGAATACTGTAAATGCCATGAACAGTAAAACGTCTGTGGGTGTCAATCATCTCAATTTCAGTTGTTAAACATGTTTCGAAATGCACATTAAAACCATTAACTTATATATTTAATAAAAGTATTGAGACAGGTGTATTTCCTGAACACTTCAAAAAAGGTGAGATTATACCAATCTACAAATCAGGCAGTATAGATTGAACCACAAATTACCGGCCAATCTCGCTAATCTCAGATTTTGCGAAACTATTTGAAAAATTATTGAAGTTAGATATAAAAACTACTTAAATAAACATAATATTATGAGCCAATTCCAATTTGCTTTTCAAAAGGGTAAAAATTCTGGAGATGCTATTAAGCATGTAACAAGACAGGTCTGTACTTCAATAGATAAAAGTATGCCCTGCATATCTATTTATCTGGATTTTGGCTAAAGCATTTGGTTCTGTTAACCATGAATTGCTACTGAAGAAGCTCTGTAGATATGATTTTCATGGAATTACGTTGATTAACAGTTAAAAGACTAATCGTAAACAAGTAGTGAGAATAAACAATGTTACTAGTAAAGAACGAGTGGTCACTTGTGGAGTTCCGCAAGAACAATATTGGGACCACTATTCTTTATTCTATACATAAATGACATATTTCTCACCTTGCCAAAGGGAGATGTGATATATTTTGCTGACGATACTTGTGTTATAGTTAATGGTAAATCACGGACTGATCTTCAAAGAGCTGAAGTCAACCTAAATCTGTTAGCTAATTGGTTATGTGCAAACGATATTAGCCTTGATATAACAAAAACAGTATACGTATGGCAGCTTTTTGGACAGTGTTCAGGATCATTGTACATTGAGGATTCATATAAATTCTTGCAATATACAAAACTGTACTTGTCCAGAGATAAAAAGAAAATATCATACAAAATACCTGAGTATTCTTATAGATTGCAATTTAAAATGGGGTTACCATGTATTAAAGATTGAAAATAAATTAAGATACCTCATTTATATTTTTTATAAAATTACTAAATTATTTAATACAAAACAATTTCTAATGATATTTTATGCATTTTATTGGTCTTTTGCTATGTATGGTATAATTGCGTGGGGAGGAGCCTATGCTAATTACTTGAAACTTCTGAGTGATATTCAAAAACGAATTATTAAACTGATAAAAAAGGATAAAGAATACTCTTTAGAAATCTTATATAGAGAAAATAAAATAATTGATATTAGGAAATATTTAACGCTGAAGTCAGTCTTGGAGAATTTCTCTTATTTACAAAATATCTATGAAGTAAAAGTAAAGGCCAATAAAAGAACTCTATATTTGCAACCTCCAGACGTTAAAAGGATATTGATAGAAGAAATTTTGAATATATCAGTTATAAAGTTTACAATTTGCCACCACGTAATTTTAAAATATTGAATGTAAATAGTATATCAATTAGAAGTATGATAAAATACTGGTTGATATACTCCTCTGGGATTGTTCTGGAGACCATTATTGAGTAATGCCCTGTTTGCATTGAAATCCTTCATCTAAGGTATACTATACCTATTGTAATTTATATTTTAGGAAAGTTTGAACACAACTAAGAAGTTTTGGGGGCGGAATCTTACGATGTGCAGCGGTGATTCGCTCAATTATGTTCTCGTATGTTGTTGGCAGTTGATCATAAACTTCACCCTTCAAGTGACTCCACAATTAAAAAATCAGGGGAGGTGAGATCTGATGATCTGGCAGGCCAAGCTACTGTACCACATCATCCGATCCACCGGCGAGGGTACATGCAATCTAATACTTCTTGATAATAATGAGCGGGACAACCATCGTGTTGAAACTACTTTGTTTGTCGCACCTTAAGGAGAAGGTCTGCAAGCAATAACGGAAGTGTGTTCTCCAAGAAGTTTCGAAATTTTCCACCATTCAAATTGCCATCAATGAAATACGGGCCGATGAGTTTGTCGCCAATTATGGCCCACCATACATTCATGTTTCAAGGGCGCTGATGTTCAACTCATCAGAGTACAATACTCTCGCAAAGAATTGAATATCCCTTTGTATTTGCAGAAGCAGCCATTGACAAAACCTTATTAGTTTCTGAAAATGTCTGTTGAACAACCCAGTGAAATGAAGCGCGTAATCGTACCCCGTCTGGAAAACGTTGAGCATAAAGAGTAACAGCATCATCAAGTTTTCTGCCACTTTCTCCATAAATTAACATCATTTCAATTTTCTCTTGCAACATTATAGCGGCCATCGTAACCAGTACAGCATTCAATAGAAGTTACTAAGAAATAATGTAACCTGATTCAAAAGGGCGATGCACACTAATTGAAAGTAGACCAAAAACCAAGGTAACCTAATTCAAAGTCAAGGACTCTGCGTGGCGAATGGAAACGGACTAAAAACTAAAATAATGATGTACTCCCAATCGTTGCAGACCAGGAACTGAAGAACGATGTGCATCCAATGGAAGCAGACCATTAACTCAGAGCTGAAGTGCATGCAATGGAAGCAGGCCTAGGAATGAAGATACGCAATTTAGAAAATGGTTGTTGGACTTTTCGGCGTTCACAACACTCAATCGATTTCCAATATCATCATCTCGCAATGGTTGTTCAATTTTTTATGTTTAAAATATTTTTTCTAACAAATTTTCAAAAAATTTTCATTTTTTATTTTAGATTGTTTAAGCAAGAAGATCTTGCACAAGTTATCCCTTTTTTAGCTCTAATTCATTCACTTTTGAATGTTATTAATGATGTTATAGTTATTTGAAATTTGATAGATTTGAAATTAAATTACCCCCGCTCTATACCAGATATTGGGGGGTGCACACGCTTATGTACTAGATAAGATTCTTAAAAACGCATGTTTTTGCATTCCCTGGTGCAATTTCACCAGAATTGTGAAAAATTGTATTTTCTACAATTACAGTGCCATCTACTGGGGGGGGGGGGAATGTTTCAAACAAAATCTACGTATTTTTTGTGGAGAATTTGAATCCGCTATAAAAAAAATAGGGGTTCCCATTTATAATTCGCAGGTTGCCCCACCCACCACCTCCAGGGGGTGGAGGGGACAAGTCTAGATTAATATCATCTAATACACCTCTCTAAAATAAACAAATTTTATTCGAAACATTTGATACAATTCTTAGTTTTAAAGATATTTGGTTGTCTCGAGATAAAAAAAAATCACCATGTATGCATTATATTTTGTATAAGAATGTTTATTGTAGTTTCTGGGCTTCAGATTTGAAAATTACCTACTCTATATTCTGTAATAAAAGCATATTTAAAACTAAAATTAAAATAAGTATTCCTTTTTGTACATTTCCTTTTCTGTTCTCGTGAGAGATTTGCATTTCCTACCAACTTGTAGTGCCAAACATTACAAGTTGGAACCATCAGTAGATGCTATGATGATGGTATTTACTTATTTAGTGTGTGCTATATTATGGCAGTTGATAGGATTTTCATTACCATTTACATTTTACTTTGCAGGCATCATGCACGAAGCAAAGGAGGTAGCCCCGATCGTAAAAGAGCACGTTCACGATCAAGATCACCTGGCCATTCCTATTCAAGTTCAAGCAGTTCACGATCGTCAAAGGATTCACATAGGACACGATCTCGTAGTCGCGATAGGCAGTCTTCAAGCACAAGGTCACGAAGCAAAGAACGCATCAGTGATAGACACAGATCTCACAGCAAAGAGCGCCAGCGGTCCAGGAGTCGTGAACGAAGGCGAGGTGCTTATGAGAAGAAGCCAAATAAACTCACGAGTGAGCAAAAACCCAGTTTTAACTATAACGGGTTATAATTATTTGTTGCTTCATGTTTAGATTGGATTGGCTTATTCTATTTTTAATTAATAAGTTATATTGCAAATAGATTGTGTAAGTCATTTACTACAAAAGAAAATATTCAATGATGACTTGAATCTATTCTTGAGAACAAAATCAATTATATAACATTAATTACAATAAATAAGGTCAACCTCTATTGATGTATATAATATCAGAGATCACGCCCCCCCCCCCCCCCCGATATGTTTTTAAAAGCCTTGTACTTAGCCATGTTTTGAGGGAAATTTGTTTGTGCCCTACAAAGAATGATTTGTATTGCAGTTCTGGAGCGCTTGGGGATTGAACTGCGCCCTCCTGATTCAATGCCTGCAGTGACACCTCAGCAACTGCTGCAGAGATCTATGGAGCAACAGGTAGCTCAAGTGAAAAGTTCCACTGGTATAGAGCTTCCGAAATACTATAATCCAGCAGCAATGAACCCAATGCGTTATGCAGAACAGATGCAAAAGAGGAGACTACTTTGGGGTAATAAGGTGAGATTTCAATTAAAAATAGATTGTACAGATAGATATTTTAAAGCTTTGACTTTTTAAGACCAAGTTTATTCCAGTACACAAATATTTTATGTAAGCACAATTCTTTTTTAGTCAAATACTCAGGAAGCTCCTGGAGAACCTAAACCTACATCCAACAACAAGTGGGAAGGCACAACATTTGCACAGGATCAAGATGGAAAGATGACTGCCAAATTCAAAAGGCTTATGGGCATAAAAGATACTGGTCAAGGTATCGTAATCTCTGAATTCCATTAGTGTAGTTTAGAAATGTTATTGATATTCATATTCGATCAATGGACAGTAGGTATTATAATCTTTAAAAAAAAAATTAATTTTTTTTATTTATTTATTATTATTATTATTTTTTTAATACAATTTTGAGAATATAATTAAGAAAGGATTCAATTGAATATTTTCATGGGTAAGAGATCTTGAAGTTTACATGGAGACACAAACTATTCTCCTTGCCTTTTTTTTTCCTGGTCATCAATACGCTTCTCTGATTCTTCCATTCTGTTTTTAGATAAGAAAAGAGGGATTAATGAATGTGCAATGTTTGTACATAGAACCAGGAAGCTATATTATTATTATTATTATTATTATTATTATTATTATTATTATTATTATTATTATTATTCAAATACTTAAAATTCAACTGGCTGTCCATTAAATGTGAATATTAGAATTATTAGAGAATTGTTAACTGAGAATGCAAGAACAGAGGACAATTATTACATGACAAGATTGAAAAAAACTCTTATGGGAATATTTTCAGTAACCTTAAATCCTTATACAAAAAATATATTTATATTATATTATTACAGAATCTGTTCTACAAAAATTATATATTGCAGGTTCCGGTGCAAGTAACTCTTCTGCAGTTGACGGCAATGAACTATTGAAAAAGCAGGAAGAGCTCTTTAATTCAATGGAAATGCAGTATGAAGTTGCAAGGGTTGCTACGCACACACACAGAGGTGTTGGTCTTGGGTTCGGCACATTCCAGTACCCCCGATGAGTTTTGGGACCAAATTGAATTGGACTTCATAAGGAGTACCTTTTGTTCAGTAGTCAATTCCTACATTTCACGATACTCTGAAAGTGAATTGATGTTGTGGAAGCAAGGATTTGTTCCTCTTAAGTTTGAGGAAAACTGTATAGAAGAAATTTATTGTACATAAATTGCATAATATGTATTGAAACGTTGTGTGCTGGGGAGTTATGCTTTTGTAAATATTCTGTATTTATTTTCATCCTATTGATGTTTTCTGTCTGCAGTAATGGCAAATATGTATGTCTAGATGAATCAGACTTACTTTTAAAGAAAATTGAGTGTTGTGTGCAATAAATCAGTCACTATAATTGTTTGTTTCTAATGATTTGCATTGCAACATCTTTTCTGTGAGAAAAAAGGTGATTTGTGATTGTGTTAAAAATAATCAGGAGCGAAGTGTGCCTTTTCTTAACAGCTTTGAAATTGTTGGAGACTTTGAAATGTCAAATGTTGTGAATGTGTGAGGAAACTTTGTACTACAGTTATTTCATAAAACCAGTTTCTAGGGCATAGTTACATAAATAAGAACATGAAAAATCTGAAATGTAATAGCATCAGTAGGTTGAATATGATCTTTGTCCTTGTTGGGTTTCTTGTAGAAGTTTGCAAGTTAGTATACTGATGCATGTTGCTTTTTTCCAACAATTACCTTTGGAGCTCAGTTTGATTTCAAAGGTCGAAATTTTTTAATTGGAATGTGGTTGAAGTTAGTGTTTCAATATAGTTTGTATGGATATTCATATATTATAAATTAAGTGAGAATTTCCATTTGCCAGTTCTTTCACTTGTTCCACTTAATAATTCCACTTATGGAATAATTACAGTATTGCTTGTAGTATTCTTAAAAAGCATTGGAAATTGGAATTTTCTTTTTAAGAAAATCTTGCAACTACTAAATATTGAAACTCCTAAATGATGGCTAACTTCTGCTTCTGTCTTTGATTTGTAATTGAGAACTTGCGTTGCACTGAGCGATGCATTTCACTCATTACTGTAAATTTAACATGGCTTATTGCCCACAATACAATCCTAGTGTTAATTGAAAGTGAGATAATTGAAACACCTTTCTACCTAAGTCATCATTTTATTCAATAGTGATCTCTTGTGCTGAATTGTACAAATGTTTGTTTTTTGTTCAATTATGTATGTTACAATAGACAAAATTAGAAAAAGTTTTGTGAATTGGATGTTATTTCCTTACTAAAGAACATACTTTTTGTGTCCAAGTTAACATTTAGTATTTCCCATGTGCTATGATGGGTAAAGTTTTTACAGGATTTTGTCCATATACCGTATTTACCTGAATATAAGAAACCTTTTGAAAAATGTGGGGTCGTCTTATATTTGCATATTAATCCTACTCAGTTAAGATTTAAGACTACATTGCCATTTCATGACACAAAACTCGTAAGTGTTGCTGTAACAAACTGCGGAAACAGTAAAAATATTGTGTATTGACAATATGTAATTATATTAATGTTCAAATTCTCTGCATCACCTGAATTTGTCGGGCAATTGAGACAGATATTTATGAATGGGCAAATAAAGAGAATCTCTAACCGATTGGTATTGTATCAAATGAACCCCAATATGGAAATGAATGCCAAGAGTCTGTTACACTGCAGGTTTAACAAGGCCATGCAGAATCTATTCGATGCCCAGTGAATGCAAATGTGCATTTTTAACTGAAACAAAGGCCGTCAATGAATCCAGAGCGGATAGAAAATCTGGTGACGGAAACATATGCTCGTAGATGGTGTCTGATGAAAGATGAACAGCGCAAATTTAGTGCCCAAAACTTTCAAGAGGAGGCAAAGGAGTCGGTCACGGCATGGAAGGACCCGAAAAAAAAATAAAAATGAAATAAAATTGATACATGTGTAGATAAGGGAAGTGACAAAACCCACAATTATAATATTAAGGAACCAGAAAATAATAGTTAAACGATAAATCTTTAACATTCTCATAAAGGCCAATTTTCTAGTGAATCAAAAATTTAGAAATTTTATTTCGATTAAATAGTAAAAATTAGTTAACAAATTCTCAGGAGGCCTCTTCAAAATTGGGGGGTTGTCTTATATTCGGCTAAATACGGTTAGAGCGTAGGCTTCCGCCGCCGGAGTCGTACTTACTTGGCTATCCGAGAGATGCCGCGTCCGGGGCACAGGTGCCTACGTTTCGGTCGCCATCCTGCGACCTTCATCAGGGCTTAGTTATTGCGTTATCGCAGAATGGCGACCGAAACGTTGGCCCGTGCCCTGGACGCGGCGTCTCCCGGATAGCCAAGTAAGTGAAGTATGGTTGGTTGAAGTTAAATATTGGTAAAACAAAGTTCATTAAGTTGGGTTTTTAGGGATGCCTAAAGGGGGAGCATTTACAAGAAATTGTAAAATTCCTACTTTATTTTAGAAGAATTTCACTAATGAAGTGGAAAAGTTTTCTTTAAAAGAAATATTGATAATTTATTGACACATGATTTGCATAATAAAATACAACTAAGTCTGTTGTGTAGTCTGAAATTGTTACCAAGTGAAGATGTGTGATGATTCATGGCTCTAGATGATTGAGGCACACGAGTGAAATGTCATTCTCAAACTTACAAAGAATCATGCTTGATTTACATCTGAAGAAAAAATCAACATTGAAATATTTCAAGTTCAGTGGAAGGGTATGGATGAAGTTTTTCAAAATATCTTGAGATATTCCATCAGGTTATAAATTAATAGCAATTATTCTGTACTGAATAGAAGACAAATCCTAGTGAACTGCAATCTACAATTTTAAACAAGACTTGCCCTGCATATTTTTTCATTATGCAAGGACATATTTGGAACAAGCAGAATAATATTGACTTCATATCAACAGTTAAAGGTGATATTGAGAGCAACATTTGGTGTCCAGAAGCTAAACAAAGAGACCATAGACCAAAGAGAGGCCAAAGACTTAGCAATTGCCCAGAGTCTATGAAAAATAGATATGAAAATATACGATAGCAAGTCATTAGTCCACAAACTAATCAAAATAGAATCATGAATTGACAAAAGTTTGCAGATGTATATGGGAAAATAATGTTTGTGGTCTCCCTCAACTTCATTTTGCAATGACAAATAATAGAGGTAAGTGAACTCATTTTGGACTAAATGAAGATAAACATGAATATATAAAAACTAAACATTTTAATTTGTGAAACTAATGAAGGAAGTAGAAACAATCAGCGAAGTAACATTCATTTCAACATGTGCAAAATGATCGAGGATTCACATGCAATTAGAAATAAAAAATTAACCTAGCTGCTTGTTTGTTCAATGACTGTTTTTCATCACACGCTACTTTAGTTTGAATGAAATATTCACGAATATAATAGCAGCAGCTATTGCAGTACTTGAGTATTAGCAAATGAGTTAGGCATAACCCACCAAGAGAAGCTATTCTTGAAGGAAAATTCAGATGTGAATAATTAAGAACCAAGGATTATGGTAGGTTGAAATTTCGTTGCATTGATTTGCTTTTACTACATCAAATGAACAGCAAGAAAACTATTCCAGGATGATATTATGAAACTTCCATTTTGTCTTTATTTTGCAATGACAAATAGAATCATGATAGACCACAACCACTTATCCTTAGAAGACGTTATAAAAGTGAAATTATAATTCCGATGACCGAAAGTTGTTTTCTCACACTTCGTCACTTTCCTCGAGAGTGACAGTAAACTCCCCTCACAGTTAAATTGGACAATAATCTGTAACATTTCTTTGAATATGTGTATTCCGAAAACAAGTTCGTCAAGCTTATTTTCTCTGCAGCAATAACACTATTGTTGGGGGGATTCTTTTCTTCCAATTTAAAAAATAAGTTTCTCATTGGAAAACAATGTTTTGGGGTGAAACAAACATCATTTCCTAAGTCCCGTGTTTCAGTAGATAACGCTTTCAAAAGCGTCTTTTCGAGCCAAGATGACCATCGCCAAAAAACAGCTTTTTTAATTCCGGACGAAACGTCTTTGAAGTAGTGCAGCAAAAAATTGCAAATACCAATGGAACATAGCGCTGATTGTGCTATCATTCATTGTCGATATAGTATTCGTAACGTCTCATTTGGTGTAAAAATCGTGTTCGCCTGATCCCCTTGTAGAACAGGGGGCTTCCAGTGGGTTGTTGTTTGGGTTTTTTTGGACTCCTCTCCCCTGTGCGGGACGGGGATCGGCAGTTGGGGTGTTGGCGGAAGGGTTAATTTGTCTATGGAGAGAGGGGTTGTTTTATTAAGGTTGTGGATGACGGAGGAGGGAAGGGGCAGGACCGGGATAGGGTGGGGTGAGAGGGAAGAGGTCGACAAGGATTTAGTCAAAGGAGATGGCGGAGTTTTGTTGTCGACATGTACAGCGTGTCAGTCATTCTGTCAAATCGTTGTCTGTTTAATTTGTCGTTGTTTGCTTTTTCTCTCTGGCTTAGGTGATAGGAGGTTGGATGATGTCTAAGGAATGCTTTTTCCGGGTGTGTCGGGGTGGGTTTCTGAGGATGTGGTGGTGAGGAAGGATTAGGTTTCGGAATAAAAAGTTGTTGACGTATTTTTTTGATTTGGGCTATTGTGGAGGTGTGTGAGGATGTGGGGTATATTGTTTTTGTGTCGTATGGATGTGTAAATGGTGTACAAGGATGGGCGGAAGATGGATGTTGTGGTTTTCCACGTGGGTTCGTTTGGTGCGGTTGGTGTGGGATGTAGCGAACTAAGTGGGATGGGCATATGTTAGGATGGCACGTTTATAGGAGTCTAGATTTTTCTCTTGGTGGGTATATGGGGATTGGTGATCCTCGTTGCTTTGACAGTAATTTTGTGGATGTGGTGGGACCAAAGGAATCTGCGGGAGAAGGTTATGCCAAGGTAGGATATTTCTGGTGTCCAAGGGATTGGTTCGTTTCCAATGGATATGGAAGGGGGGGTTGATGGGTATGTTTTATAGGAGAGCAGGATTGCTTGGGATATAGATGGGTTTATGATAATGGAGTTTTGGAAAGCCCAGAGGTGGAAGTCGTTTAGGGATTCTTGGAGGTAGGATAAGAATCGGTTTAGGAACCGGAAGGAAGATAGGAAGGAAAGGTCATCGGCGTAAAGGGAAGTTTATACTCCTTGTGTTGGTGGAACGTGATTTATATAAATGGAAAACAGAATTGGGGACAGCACAGCGCCCTGTGGGATGCCGGCTTGGATTGAGTACTTGGGAGAGGTTTTTGATAGGTGTCGGATGTGGAAGGAGCAATGAATTAAATAGCTTCGTAGTAGGGTGTCAATATGATCGGGGATATAGGGTCGGATTTTCATGAGAAGGATTGGATGGGAGACTGTGTCGTACGCTTGTCTTGGTCGGGTGAGGTCTGTGAAAATGTCAGGGACTTCTTTTCTATCTTGCAGTGGGGTCGCGATGCCTAGGGATTGGTTTAAAGTTTGGAGGGCCGCCGAGCGAATTTCACGGAAACCAAATTGTGTGGAGGTTATGATGGTATGTGTTAGACGGAGAATAAGTATATTTTCGAATATATTATCAAGAATGGGCAGTAAGCTGATGGGACAGTGGTTACATAGGAGCCGATGATCCTTACCAGGTTTGGGGATCATGTTAACGCGAGCGATCTTCCAGATGGTGGGGAAATATGACAGTTTTAGGCAGGAGTTGAGGATTAGAGTAAATCGGTCTATTGCATTTTTTGTTAGGTGAGTGAGATGGGAGGACTCCATCGGGTCCGGGCGATTTGATGCAGTCTATCGTCTTATGTATCTGTTTAACTTCTGCGTCGTTCGTCTGGGTCGTCGTTCGTCGTTCCAGGTCTGTTGTTGGTCGGGTGGTAGATGTGGAGTTACAAGGAAATTCCAAAGAACACACTCTGGGATTGGGATGTTGGGGGGAGGAAGAATTTTGTCCAGGGATTTGGCGAAGGTATTGGTGATGGTTTGGGGGTGAAAGGTTAGGGTATTGTTGGTGGTTAGGATAGGGGAAATGGGAGTGGGATGGTTCCTGATTGCTTTTATGACTTTATGGATATTATTGGGGCTGCTTTTGTCAGATAGTAGGTCATACATATGTGTCTCGTGATGTTTAAGTAGGTTGTGTATTGTTTTTTGCGTTCTTTTTAGTTCTCGTTTGACGTCTGTTGTAGTATCGTCGTTGAATTCGTCGTTTATGTCGTATGATCGTAAGGATTTCGTCACGGAGAGTGGAGTGTGTATTTCTGGAGTAGGATGTGGTTTTCCGATATGTTTCATGTGGTAGGTAAGGTGATCTATGGAGTTGTCTATGGATATGTTGGTCAGGATATCTGAGGGAACGTGTATTTTCTTAGATAGTATGTGTTTAAATTTTTTCCAGTCGGTTTTTGGTATTGATGGGGGTTTGGGGAGCATGTAGTTGGAGATTGAGGAACTGGTAAAAACTATTGGGAGGTGGTCAGATAGGTCGTATTTTGGGT